TTTTTTTTTTTTTTTTTTTTTTTTTGCTTCCAGGGGATATTTCTCCCCCTCGAGGGGTAAGGGCAGCTATGGAGATGCAAGCTGAAGCAGAACGCAAAAAGAGAGCTCAAGTTCTCGAGTCTGAAGGTAAGCAAACAATTAAAATCATCTCGATTTGAGTTCGATAAAATAACCTAATTTTCCAGAGGTCAAATAGATTCAGTTGATTAAAATCTCATCAATAGGTTCAGTTGTTCAACTGAGCATGTTGAATGTTTTTGAGGCCATAGTTTTAAATTATGATGGCTACCGACCTAAGGTGTCAAATATCCATGAGTTTCTGTGGAATGGATGGACGGTTACAGAGAGAAGTAAAATGATTTAGCTATTTCATATGCTGGGGTTATTTGGGTGTGTATGGAGGGGGTGAAAACCTAAATTCTCGAGGAACTGAATTAGTCTCTTTCTTTTGGTACTCTCTTAATTTCTGATATTCATTCATGAAGATTGATGCCCTTCAATTTTTAACAGGAGAAAGGCAAGCCAATATCAATATTGCTGATGGTAAGAAGAATGCAGTTATATTAGAATCTGAAGCTGCAAAAATAGATCAAGTTAACAGGGCGCAAGGTCAGTCTGCACTACTATTTCAATTACTGATATGAAAATGCAGATCTGCTTCTTGAGTGATTTAGTGTGATGGAACTAATTGCTCAGGCTCATACTCGATTAAGTATATATCATTTCACAGGATTCTAACAAAAGTGGGTTTAAAGAAGGGGTAGATGGTTTTGGCCCACCCCTCACTACCCGAGAATATCAAGCTTTTTTCCTGTGAAATTACATAGATACTTCTATACTTTCCTCTTCTTCACCTTTCTTTGCCTATCTCATCTAAGTATGTTTGAAAGCTTTCTTGGTGTAAAGATGATCATAGCCATTTTTTTTTTTTTGTGGTTCATCCAAAACGTTGAAGTAAATCTCCAACTCCGTGTCCATTCTTGAATATGCTTTTCTCACTTATTAATGGAATGTTGTAGTGGGAGTTGAAAATTTTCTTTAATGGAAGATTGAATTTTGTTGACTACAATGAAAGGACGAAGATGAGATCTGAGAAGGCGTGGACTCGAGAAAGGAAGAAATATAACATACAGGGGTTGTGGGGTTAGGAGGATTTGATGAACGAGAAACAAGAGCTACTACAATGTTTGATTTGTAGAACTGAGATGCGGTCTGTTTTGTTGGATTGGGGGTTGTGAGTGATACGACCACAAATAAAAGGGGGCTTATGAAATCCCAATCAATCTATTGAAAAGAAATCTCAGAGGCTTTTCAAGGCTTGAGATGATCACATTATGAGGATAGCAACTGTTCTCTTTCATCTCAATACTGAAATGAATTTTCCCCCTTTTTTCATTTGTTTATTTTGTTACCTCAATACCAAGTTGAAACATTCTTTATCTTGTTCTAAAATTTCTATTTTGGTTCTTGCTTGGTGGTTTTAATCTAGTTTAAAATGCTGATATCTCCAAAGCTTCTTGCTATAGGATCCCATTTTCTTCTCAGTTGCATGAGAATCTTTCACGATTATCTCGACCTTCTTGGTTGAAATCCATGATGATGCTTTAAGTTTCTATCAGGATGCAGTTTCATCCCCATCTCACCTCAGTCGCCAAAATATTAACTTTTGCAAAAAAATGTTAGAGAAAGATAACTAGCAAACTTGAAAAGCATATTATTTTTTAACAATTTTTTTTTCTCCTTTCTTTCTTCATGGTGGGAATGGGGGTCGGGGTGTGGGAAAACTTCCTACTTTACTTGAAATTTTAAGCCTTTTCTTTGTCAAGTTCCATTTTTACCATTTATATCACATGCTTTTTTCCAATCTCTTGTTCCATTTGATTAAAATGGCATCTGAATACATGGGAGGACGAATATTACTTCTTGTGTCATTTTTCTTTTTTCATCCTCAAATACTACCCCACTACTTCACCAGGTGAAGCGGAGGCCATCCTTGTAAAATCCCAAGCTACAGCCAAAGGACTCGCTCTTGTGTCACAGGCTCTCAAAGACAGTGGGGGTGTTGAGGTGAGGTTCTTATCCTCATGTTTTAGCTTTTAATACGTTGATGCGTTGGATTCAGTTTGTGCCAAAAAAGAACCAACATGATCAAATGAGATCATCTTTTGAACTCCAATGGACAATCACAATTAATTTGAATATTGAAACTTTAGGAGGCGATGATGCATTTTGGCTTCCTGGTAGTAAGATCTTATATATATTTTTTCTATTACCATGGCGTTGGGTTGAACCCCACTAAACCATGGGAAAATTAGCCAGAACTTGGAACACTTGAGTTTTCTTTTATTAAGATTTCCATCTTGAAGATTGAACTTAGGGCTAGGACCTAGATATAAACCTAACCAACCCTCAAAAACCAATAAGGCCACCCCTTGGGGGCTAGTGAAAAGTGAAAGCTACATTTATTTTTCCCCCCAATATCAATTCTTATTAAAATCAAACCTTTGAGCTCCGATTTTAAAATTATCGTCCTTATTTTTGTTAATTTAAATCACTGAACTTATTATTTACATATATATTAAGAATAGACATGTGTCAGACTCTAATTCTCCCCTTTCTGATTAGCATGTAATTAGTGTAGGAGACAGCCCTGTTTCTCTGGTATTGTTGAACTATCGAAATCTGTAACGATACCCTCCAGTATTATACTGTTAAACCATCTTAATTTTTGTAGAGTAATACACCACAAACACGGGGTGGGGTTTAAGCCCATGACCTCTAAAGAGAGGTAGAAATGAAAAAATTGTGGGAAAGACTATTTAAAGTTCACAGAGGTAAATTTTCATATTTGGAACATCAAGTACAATGGTGCTCTAATTATTTATAGTAGTTCCTTCCCCATTCCTTCAGTTTTCTGCAACTTAGTTTGGTTATTTGCTAAGATTATTAGCAATATTAAATTTTAATGTCTTATTGTGATATATCGTGGTTAAATATTTATTCCCTTTCGAATATTTAACTTTTCCAATTCTTTTCATGTTATGCAAACATTCAGTTGATAACCGAGTTTTTTTTTTTTTTTTTTTTTTTTTTTTTTTTTTTTTTTTTTTTTTTTTTTTTTTTTTTTTTTTTTNNGGATTTTTTTTTTTTTTTTTTTTTTTTTTTTTTCTTCTGGTTGTCTTCCTTCTTTTCATTGTGTAATTCTCATAACTTTTTTTTACCTTAAATAAACAAGGGGGAGGGAATTGAACCTCGACCTTTAAGAGGAAGTAAATAATGTATTATTCAAGACGTTTTTTTTTTGTTTGTTTGTAATGTCTATATCGCATGCAGTGGCTGTTCATTGTGAAGATCAGATTGTTAAGTGATTGCTTATAGCATGCATAACTGAAGTATCTCTGGGTTATTGACAGGCTGCTAGTTTGAGAATCGCTGAGCAATATATACAAGCCTTCAGTAATATTGCCAAAGAGGTGAAGTCGTCTGAGCTTGTTATGATTATTTGACTATCAGCATTCATAATAGGGTCTTGATCCTTATCTTGAATTTCCACTTCAGGGTACCACAATGTTGCTTCCTAGTTCAGCTGCCAATCCAGGTAACATGATGGCTCAAGCCCTTACTATTTACAAGAACCTGGTTGGCAATGTTTCTGGCAATGAAGGCAGAACAAGTGGATTAAATGAAGGCATAAAGGAGAGCAATCCGGCAGCGGAAATCGGCGGAGAGGGCAATCAAACTGTTAGAGTTGCTGAGGAAGTTCAAAATGGCAGCCCAGGATTTTCTGTACAGAGCCCCAAGATTGCGGAGTAGTAGATGGATTTAACATAGTGTGGAGGGTTTCCCTTTTTCTGGGTGTGGGATTCTTTTTGGGTGAGAGGAAACTCTATCTATACCAGAAGCTACTCCAAATTCATTCTCAATACGAGAATTTTTCTTATTCAGCCTTTTTCTGCCGCTGGCCCCTTTGCGTCCATTGCTGCTGCCCTTCTTGTCTTTGTGAACAAGTTGTTAACAATCAATTCCTTTAACTCGTACTATTTTATTCAGAGATATTTCTAAACAAAACTATAGGCCTTAAATATAACATCTTGACACATACAAAACAAAAATCCAAAATTGGTTATTGAAAGCACATGCTGGAAAATAACTTAGTTATGACAAAAAAAAAAAAANAAAAAAAAAAAAAAAAAAAAAAAAAAAAAAAAAAAAAAAAAAAAAAGAAGAAAAAAAGAAAAAGAAAAACAATAGGTTTCCAAAGTTTTTTTGTCGGACATCTTTTCAGTTGTTTTCAAGGAGCATTATTAGTCATTTTTTAAAGGATATTATTGTCTATTTCTAAAGCGTGAAACAATTCGATCTAATACCTCTATTTCTTACAACCCTAGTTTCCCAAATATACCTTTTATTTTCCACCTGTGAGAAGTGGAATTTCATTTGTTTGGGACTACATACAAGTCATATTATGGATAATGTTGATTTTTTGTTTTTTGTTTTTTTTTTTATAAAAATTGAGTAAATCCCTTCCCACTCCAACTACTAATAACATCGACCCCATCATCACGGACTGCGAACTCTCCTCTCTCTATAAAAAACCTTGCCCCGTCCCTCCTTTCCCTCGTTCTATTCCATTTTCTGTCTTTTTCATTTTTCTGCTTCCTTAAAACAGGAGGGAGTGCGGGAGTTGATTGAGAGGGAGACAGCGCGCCTTCGTTTGTTTTTATTTTCCATTACTCTGGTGTTGTCGTGTGGCCTCTCAGATCAAGTGAGTTATTTTCTGTTCCTTTTCTGGCTTTTTTTAGCACCTCATGTTCTATTTCCCTTTTAAGATCTGCATCGAAACATTCATATGTCTTTTGTATTAGTCTTCCTACACTATTCCAAAAAGAAAAAAAAAAGCGTTTCTCCAGTACTAAATATTTGTTTTTTTTCCCTAATCTGCACATGGGTTTCATAGATCTGGTCTGAAATCACCACGCTCTTCGTAATATGTTTAATTAAGGACTTGTGGTGGTCTCCGGAGTTAGGATAATGTCAATCTGGCACTCTGTAAGGTCCTTCCAGCTGCACGCACCTTTTACTTTTCTCATTATATTTCGTGGTATATAGCATTCTACTATTTTAAGATCTGGAGAGCTGATTTTCTAGGGCTTCCTTTAGAGTTTCTTGGATGATTAATCAATTTGTTGATATATCTTTATTTTGCAGTTTCTTTTTCTCTTATTCTATTTTGTTTGCTTCAAATTTCAGTCAAATTTAGAATTTAAACCCACCATAATGATTAGGGACGTGCGGCGGAAGACTATAGTTAGTTTGAGAAAAAAAAAAAAAAAACGAAAAATTTATGATCAGAGAAGTAGGTACCTCGTACCTGGGGGTTCCCTGCTTTCATAGTCCAATATTTGACAGTTGTGTATTTTGTGTTGGGCTGTGCAGAAATTTTGAGGCAAGACTTTCCTTTTGATCGCATCATCAAAATGGAGTTGAACGGCAAATCCATGGTCTCTGCAAACGTTATTTATCTTTCAACTATTCTGGGTAGAGATGAGCAAGTTGTTGCCCACAAATGTGATTGGAAATGTGAGAATGAACATGTGTGTGGTAATATGTACCGCTGCAAACTTACAGGAATGACTCACATTTGTGACAAAAACTGTGACCAAAGAATTGTGTATGATAACCATAGCTCACTTTGTCGTGCAAGTGGGCAAATTTTCCCGCTTACACTGACAGAGGAACAAGCAATCAGAGGCATTCGCAGGAAACTTGATGCTGACAATTCCTCCGTTGATGATTTTGGTTTTAAGCGTAGGCGGGATGCCCAGTTTCATCCTTCACCTTTTGAGAGATCTTTCTCTGCTGCCGTCCCAATTTGTAGTCAAGTTGGAGATGGCATGGATATGATGAGCTAGATTTGTTTATGAAAAGGAAGCAAAACTGGGGCTTGTCTCTGTGCTCTGTTCTTTTGAATAATTTTCCTTTTGTTTTGCGTATGGACTGATAATCATATAATGGACTTGACCTGCGGGTGCTTGAAGTGGTGGACCTTGTTTGCCCCACCTGTTTGTAGGAACGCTTATATTTCTAATCTTGTCTTATGCAATATGTAGCTGACACTAGATTGACTATACTATAACAGATAAGATGGATCCGGATCATCATCAAACTTACATTTCTATTTTGTATTTCCTTCACCACCTTCTAACATAGACAGACTATTGAAGCCTCCGATTTGTATTCATATTGTTTTGAAATCTGTGTTGCTAGACCTGCTTTTGGCTGTGTTCAGGTTTCTAATATTTATTATTAGCTTTCTTCTTTTCATATGAGCTTGTCCTTAAGTCATTTTCTTTTTACTATTTTGCAGCAGAGGTGTGGTCATTTTCCTAATTGTGAGAGTTTAGTTATGCTCCTCAGTTAATGTTCCTTGTTCTGCAATTTGTTTGGATGGAATCACTGATGCTTCTCACCTTTCTTGGCAGGTGTATTATGTGTCTTTGTAAATGTGGAGAACAAGTTTAGTGAACTAAATGAGGTCATCCTTAGAAGGTGCGGAAAGGATTTTTGAGGTACTCTCACAAGACATTTCCAGCCTCCCTTACTCAACTTTATTTCTTGATTTTTCTCCTGCATTTGATTTGCAGGGGCAATGCTTGACAAAATAATGGAGCTACCGTAGGCGGTTTGGTTATTGTGCTTGTCATTTGTAATTTTTTTGCTAATATTGGAGATGTTTGGAACAAGTTCATCTCCGCTGCTCAATTCCTGCCCTGTATTATGTAAAGTTATGATACGGTCCAACACTTGTTTGCTTTGACTATTATGAATTTTGTATCACATTGCATTCTGTGAAGTGCACTCCAAATGAAGTTTTTGCATGCAGTTATAGCAGTTATTACATGTTGATGTCAAAGTGCAGAATTGATAATGCAGATGAAGGCATGCACACTAGTAAATGTAAATAACTCCTCTTCACCATTTCAAACCTGTAAAGATGACTGAAAAATCAGCCCTTTTAAAAGCAAGAACCTGGAGGTGGAACCTCTGCTATGATTGTTCCACAAGGTTTCTTGAAGTTCATATATGGGTACAAAACTTGAAAAGCTCAAATCGTAGTGAAACAAAACCATGAATAATGTTCTTCTATTGGAGATCTAATTATGTTTATAGAACACTTCTCTAACTTCGTAAATGAAGTTTGGACCCACCCTCCTCAACTATGGATAATAAAGGGTAAAATTGTAATTTACTGTTCGAAGTCTTCGGAAGTGAAAGGGTCCAAAAAATACTTTACTTTTATATTTTTAATAAACCATAAAACTTCTGGAGTGCAGAAGGGCAACGCCGGCCAGCTCACCGACGCCGAGGGTTGATAGTGGTGAAAGGAGATTTTGATTATTCCACCGATTCTTCCAAATGTTGAGAATTATCTCTGTATCGCAACCTCGCATCAAGTTTCTCGCCCGTTACATAACCTCTCTATCTTCCGCCCCAACAATCTACCTATTACCATCTAATTCTCCTTCCAAGCTGTTGCCACCTTCGGTTCGGATACTCTTTTCGCCATTCTCGCACTCATCCAAGCACAGGAAGGAAAATAGCAACGACGTTGTTTCCGTTTGCAACAGAGACCCAATAGCTCCACCCAAACTCTTCGTGGTTCAACCTCGTCTTCGTCCCGATACTATTCTGCAAGCAAAGCTAAACGAGGCTTTGTGTCTTGCAAATTCTCTAGAACAACAACGGGATGGGTATTTCGATATTGATTTCTTTGACAAGGAAATACCCCCTCACGTTGTAGTTCAAAATCCTTCTGCCAGAGGAGCTCGCGCTGGTAAGTCCAAGAAATGTGAATTCTATAGCCCCTTTTTTTTTATTTTGTGCTTAGACATTTTTCAGTTGGGGACACTTGAGAGCTCTCTCACTCACCTCAAACCGACCGGTGTTTGAGTTAACTGCCTATTGAAATATTTTATAAGTTGAAATTTGGGTCCTTTGGATATGTTTTCTTAGTTATTTTAGTATTCATTGCCTCAATTTGGATTTTTTTTTCCCTTTCTTTGAATTCGGCTTATTAGTGGACGGTTTTTGAGTTATGCCACTTGAACTATGGTCCTGTTAGCGCCTCAATTCTGAATTATTATTTAAAGGATTCATCCTGGCTATAGTAAATTGATTTAAAAAGACACGGTGACTGAATGCATGACTCATAAAAAGATCATAAAGTCTTACCATATCTTCGATTCCAAAGATTTATGTTATGCTGGGAAGCATGCGAAGACGTTAATTTTATTTTTCTGAACTGCTACTTTTCGTAGTTATTGTTGCTGACTGCCTAAGTTGTCTTCTTTCTCATGGTTCCTGTCAAGGCACAATTAGAGGCTTCTTTAACAGGTCTCCTATTTGCATAAGGCACATTCTATTTGCGGACGACATCTTGCTTCTTATCAATATTTTCGGGAAGGAAACCATAATTCTTGCCTTGATCTGTTGCTTGTCGGTAAACTGAAATCTCTTTCTTTCTGCAGTCCCTTGATTTAACAAGGGGTGTATATATTGAAGGGTTGAAAAATGTGCTTACGTCTCCCATGGGGGCCTCTTACACGCATCCTCTCATCTGTTGTCCTTGGTAGCTGTGTTGACAAATGAGAATGGACGATAGGACATCCAACTCTTTCACTAATGTGCTCTTCCTTCAATCCCCTTTCCAAGTCTGCCCTTTCTTTTCATATGGGAAGCATGGGCTTGAAGACAATGGAAGGGACTTTAGGGTAGTGGTGAGAGACAACAATCAATTGGAGGCTTTTTCTTTAATAGGTCTCCTATTTGCATAAGGTTAGATTCTATTTGCGGATGACATCTTGCTTCCTATCAATATTTTCGGGAAGGAAACCATAATTCTTGCCTGATCTGTTGCTTGTCGGTAAACTGAAATCTCTTTCTTTCTGCAGTCCCTTGATTTAACAAGGGGTGTATAGATTGAAGGGTTGAAAATATGCTTACGTCTCCAATGGGGGCCCCTTACACGCATCCTCTCATCTGTTGTCCT